ATAAAAAGAAAAAGGGAAGAAAAAGAGGAAGCGTGTACGAAAATCCTTTTTTGTGCTGGAACTGTGATGTTGTACTGGTATCGTACTGATATTATACTAGTATTATAAGAGTACAGCGTATGATAAAATTTTATTTTAATATACAGTGGTGATACAGTGACGCTACAGTAGCCGTACCGCGTACTAATACGGTGTACTGGTAATGTACGCCTACGGTACGCACGTACATGATAGATACCGTACTGATACATAACATACGACGGACGGTACCGGTACCGTGGAAGTATTTTGTTATTTGGGGTGACGAGAGAATCTAGATAACACTGTTGGCATGTTAGTTATATAACATTTATAAAGGAGAGCGAATGGCGAGCGGTGCAGAACGGTCGGTTGCTAGCTTATCTCAGTTTCAAGAAAGTTTTTCGGTTTCCAGATAACCAAGCGTACGATTCATGCACAAAATACCGCTATTGTACTATTACTGTACCGCTACGAGATGGCAGCATACGGAGTAACCGTGTAGCGATCCTCTCATTGGACGAGCTACAACAGCGCCACGCAGCGACACCAACATCCGGCGCCAGCGGAAAGTTCCGGGTGTAAAAATGACTCGGACTTTTAGATCTTTGAAATCTAACAGTTAAATTCTTGCGAACGTTCGGAGTGACAATACGATAACGATAGTTGATCTCGATCATTAACGAGCATTACGTTTTATAAAGTCGTTCAATCGCGAATTGCTTGATTAAAACTATCCAGATACGAGGGTGGTCTGAAAAGTTTCCAACCTAACAAAGATACAAGTCATTTTTTCTGAAAATTGTTTTTTATTTTTTAACATAGTCTCCTTGTAAATCTACACACTTTTTCCAGCGATGCTCCCATCTCTGTAACCCGTCCAAATAGTACTCGGCGTTTTTCTCTGCAAAATAATTGTTTACGAAGGTGATTGCCTCTTCATTTGACGAAAATCTCTGTCCTCCGAGCGCAATTTTTAGATGAGGGAACAAAAAGAAGTCGCTTGGGGCTAGATCTGGTGAGTAAGGCGGATGGTCAAGCAGTTCAAACCGTAATTCGTGGATTTTCGCCATGGCAACCGCTGAGGTGTGAGACGGTGCGTTGTCTTGGTGAAACAGGATTTTTTTTTTCTGCAAATGTGGCCGTTTTCCCGCAAGTTCTTCCTTCAGCTTGTCAAGTAATGATGCGTAGTATGCTTTTGTAATGGTTTTTCCTTTTTGAAGATAATCGATTAAAATAACTCCATGACTATCCCAAAAAACAGTCGCCATCACTTTCCCAGCCGAAAAAAACAGTTTTTGCTTTTTCTGGAGCCGGTTCCTCCTTTGCAGTCCACTGTTTGGACTGTATTTTGTTTCAGGCGTATAATGGTGTATCCAAGTTTCATCTACAGTAATTAATCGGCGCCAAAACTCGGATTTATTGCGCCTAAACTGCGCCAACAGAGCGTTGGAAATGTTCATTCGAACACGTTTTTGGTCTAACGTAAGCAAACGCGGCACCCAACGCGCGGACAGCTTTCTCATGCCTAAATGTTGATTTAATATGCGACAAACACGTTCTTTTGACATGTTCATAACCTCTGCTATCTCTCTCACTTTAATTCGGCGGTCGTCTAGCACCATTTGGTGAACTTTGGCGATGTTTTCGTCGGTAGTTGCAGTTTTTGGACGTCCCGAACGTTCATCGTCTCCCAAGCTCTTACGGCCACGTTTAAATTCAGCTGCCCAAAATTTCACTGTGGTAAATGATGGTGCAGAGTCCCCATACACAGAATCCAACTCATCTTTGATTTGCGTAGGCGTATTGCCTTTTAAAAACAAATATTTAATAACAGCTCGATACTCGATTTTCACAAAAACACTCACATCAACTTACTCAAACGACTGTTACATAAAAACTGCGAGTCCAAAATGGCTGAAACTTCGGTGAGTAACTGTCAACAAATGAACAACGAAATTCACTAGCTTTTATTTACGAGTGTTGCCATCTTCACGTTGAGGTCGGAAACTTTTCAGACCACTCTCGTAGAGACAAAAATTCCCACTTGTTAGAAACTGTAAATAGTGTATATATTTTGCGATTATTTCAATTATATTAAGTGTTAGTCGATAGATAAGTTGTACAGTGATTTTATCCGGTTCCTCCTTCACTCCTTATCTCCCTTACTCCTTTATAGGGGCAATTCCCTATAAAATTGGTGACCCCGACGTGATCGGCGAAAGGTAGTCGGAGTAAACGCAGCCGTATTCGAAAAGAAGATTAAGGAGCTAGACGCGCGGATAAGGGATGCCGATAGGACACTCTCCACCCGGGACTCCACAAAGCAAGAGCCAGGACACATTGCATCAAAGAAATCTTGGCGAGATGAACGAACAAAGTCACAGCAAAAATGAGATCACACCGCAATTACCCGTCGTATCGGAAATCAAGGCGATTAAATTAACGCAGCCCTTCTGGCAAGAGAACCCTGCACGATATTTTACAATAGCTAAAATGACGTTCGCATTACATCACATAACGTTGGACAAGAGCAAATACCGCCACGTCATCATCCACCTAGACGTCGATCTTTTAGATATAGTAGGTGACATCATAGATGCTCCACCGATCAACGGAAAGTACGAGGCGATCAAACGCCGGATCTTTGACAGTCTATCCGACTCGCAAGAGACGAGGATGCGACGTCAACTCCGAAGACAAGCATTGGGAGACGAGAAACCGTCCGTGTTTCTACAGCGACTCCGGAACTTAGCAGCGGGACAGTGCAACGATCATGTGCTGCGCACGCTATTCATGGAGCAGATGCCGGAGCACATGAGAGGTATCCTGGCAGTCAACCAGGTGGACGACCTTGCCACGCTCGCTACGCAGGCCGACCGAACACTGGAGGTAACGCGACCACAATTGGCGAACATTGGCACGTCAGGTACTGTAGCTTTACCTTCCGATATTTCGACGACGACTAACCATAAGCCGGCATCCGAACAAACTGAAATTACCGAATTACGCCTGGCGGTAGAAGCGTTAACACGTAAGATCGAACGCGCTTTCACTAACAAAGGACGTAGTCGAAGTCGCAGTCAAAGTCGGAGTAAGAATCGCGGAACACTTCGTAGACGCGCGGTTACTCCCCAGAACAAAGAAGAAACATCATATTGTTACTATCACGAGAGATTCGGAGCGGACGCATACCGCTGTCGCCAACCATGTACCTGGGACCGACAGCTAAATAATAAGGCGCAGAAAAACTAATTCTGCCGGCGTGCATTGGGGCCGCCGCCGGTGGAACAGAGCTTGCGAGATGACTCATAGTCGTCGATCGGAAAACGAGCACACGTTTTCTTGTAGATACCGGTGCCGACATATCAGTCATTCTAAGGTCAAAATTCAAAAACATTTTTCAAACGGACCGAGTTTTAAACGCTGCTAACGGATCCACAATATTAACATATGGAGAAAAAAAACTAATAGTCGACCTTGGTTTAAAACGAAAGTTTATTTGGACGTTCGTCATAGCAGAGGTCGGACAACCGATTATCGGTAACGATTTTTTGCATGAATACAATTTATTACCAGACTTAAGAGGTAAACGATTGCTAGACACCAATACAAATCTAACCACGCATAGACAAATAATTACCGCGAATATTGCATGCATTAGTACAATAAGTTTAAATAATGTATTCAAAGATATTTTACAGAAACATATTAAGGTAACACTTCCCGCAAGATATAGAGAGCCACAACACCCGGTCCGGCATCACATAGTGACGAAAGGTCCGCCTTGCACGGACAGGGTACGACGACTCTCACCGGAAAGAATGCGGTACGCGAAGCGCGAAATCAAGACTTGGATAGCCAATGGAATACTGAATCCATCCAGCAGTCCATACGCAAGTGCGATGTTGATGCGCAAGAAGAAGGATGGCACGTGGAGAATATGCGGAGACTACCGTCGACTGAATAGGATAACGCTCCCGGATAAATATCCCGTTCCAAATCTCCGAGATTTTGCTCACAAACTCCACGGATGCACAATATTCACCACGCTGGACTTGGAGCGTGCGTACTTTAACATCCCGATGGAACCTGAGGACAAAAAAAAGACAGCGTTAATAACTCCATTCGGATTGTACGAGTTTAATGTAATGCCATTCGGTCTAACAAACGCAGCGCAAACATTCCAACGATTTATGGACAGCATATTACGAGATATAGATTTCTGCTTTTGTTATCTAGATGATATATTAATCGCATCACAAACGGCAGAACACAAAAAACATCTTGACATAATACTGACGCGACTAGAAAACCATGGCATTACAATCAAACCAACGAAATGCGTGTTCGGAAGGGAAGAAGTGGAATACCTGGGACACCTCATTACGCCGGAAGGAACCAAACCACTGGAACACCGAGTGCGCGCAATCCTGGACTATCCGAAGCCGAAGAACATCGCTGAACTCAGAACATTCCTGGGAATGTTAAATTTTTATAGACCTTCCATTTCGAACGCGGCAAAAATACAGGCGCCTTTACACAAACTCACCGCAGGAGCGAAGAAGAAGGATAGAAGACCAATCGAGTGGACCACCAGCACAGAAGAGGCATTCAGAAGCTGCAAGGAACAACTGACAAATACAGCAATGCTGGCTCACCCAGTAGAAGGAGCACGACTTTTCTTGGTTACAGACGCTTCAGACCTTGCCATGGAAGCAGCCCTAGAACAAATAAATGAAGGAAAACGTCAGCCACTTGGATTTTTCTCGAGAAAACTCACAGAAACACAGACGAAATATAGCACATACGATCATGAGTTATTGGCTATGTATACTGCTATACATTATTTTAAATACATGATTAAAGGCAGAGAAACAATATTCACGGACCACAAGCCGTTGACATATGCTTTCGACCAGCGACCAACCAAAGCCACGCCACGATAACAAAGGCACTTGGATTTCATAGGCCAGTTCACAATGGATATCCGAGACATCTCAGGCCTGGACAACATCGTAGCTGACGCACTATCACGGATGAACGACATCACGTTGCCTGTCATCGTCACGACAGAGGACATAGCGGCAGAACAGCAGACGGACGAGGAGCTTAAAAGCCTCCTTAAAAATTCAGGCGAACTGCAATTAAAACGATTACGATTAGAAGGCACGGAAACCACAGTATACTGCGACATATCAACGGACAGCATCAGACCTTACATTCCAAAACCCCTAAGGAAGAGGATCTTCGATGTCGTCCATAATACAACTCACTCCAGCGGCAGGGTGACTAGGAAGAACATAGCGTCCAAATTCGTGTGGCCGGCCATGAACAAAGACATCGGCGAATGGGCTCGCACATGCCTGCAATGTCAACGGGCCAAAATTAGCAGACATGTTAGAAGGAAGCGGGAACACATTAAAGTACCAGAAGACAGATTCGCACACATACACTTGGATATCGTAGGACCACTACCACCATCACGAGGTTACCGTTACTGTCTAACAATGATCGACAGGTTTACCAGATGGCCGGAGGCGGTTCCGATTCTAGACATCACCGTGGACACCATCGCAAACGCATTTTTCGGATCCTGGGTAGCACGATTCGGTTCACCAACAGTCATCACAACTGACAGAGGATCACAGTTTGAAGCACGATTGTTTAAGGCGTTAACAAAATTAATTGGTTGCAGGACACAACACACAACCGCGTACAGACCGCAATCAAATGTCACGAGACGACCGATTGGGTAAAAGTCCTGCCCGTAGTGATGTTGGGATTGCGGAACGCGTTAAAAGAAGACATCAGTACATCTGCTGCCGAACTCGTGTACGGGACGCAGCTGAGAATACCCGGCGAATATTTCAGCCAGGAGGAGCCATCTCAGGACCCGTTTCCATTCCTGGAAAAATTACGACAGGCGATGCGGGAAATACGATCACGACAAACAGCACACCACAACAGACCACGAACATTCACACACAAGACTCTGTGCACATGCACCCACGTCTTTTTACGTGTAAACAGCATGCGGGGACCATTGCACCAGCTGTACGAAGGTCCTTACGCTGTCATAGAACGAATTAGCGATTTCTGTTTTAGGATCGACATCAGAGGACAACCAACAGACGTGTCCATCGATCGACTGAAACCAGCGTTCCTGGAGACTACCTCGGGCGAACCTCCACTAGCGACGTACGGGAGAACGGCCGCCACGAGCACCAACACCATTCCCAAACCAATCCAGGAAGCCGCACGGGGAATTCGCAAAGTATATTTCGCTCCCCGATAAGGTCGCTCGGGGGGGAGTACTGTAGCGATCCCCTCATTGGACGAGCTACAACAGCGCCACGCAGCGACACCAACATCCGGCGCCAGCGGAAAGTTCCGGGTGTAAAAATGACTCGGACTTTTAGATCTTTGAAATCTAACAGTTAGATTCGTGCGAACGTTCGGAGTGACAATACGATAACGATAGTTGATCTCGATCATTAACGAGCATTACGTTTTATAAAGTCGTTCAATCGCGAATTGCTTGATTAAAACTATCAAGATAGAGACAAAAATTCCCACTTGTTAGAAACTGTAAATAGTGTATATATTTTGCGATTATTTCAATTATATTAAGTGTTAGTCGATAGATAAGTTGTACAGTGATTTCATCCGGTTCCTCTTTCACTCCTTATCTCCCTTACTTCTTTATAGGGACAATTCCCTATAACCGTATGGTAACAGTACAAAACCAATACGTGATATACGTAGTACAGCGTATCATCATTGTACCTGTACTACGTATTAGTGCGTATTATCGGTACATATCGTACAATACAGTTTGTACAAACCGTACCTTACCAATACGGCGTATACAAATATCAAGTGTATTTCATCGCTCTCGATTCTGTCAAAATTTTATATTATTTTATATATATTATAAAAGTATATTTTGATATAAAAAATTATTAATGCTGCGTTTAGAAAAAATGGACGACTTTTTGGCAGTTATAATATATATAATGCTATCATAGCGTGAATTAATGCGATGGAACGATTATGTACCACCGGTCTTTAGGTTAGTTATTTATTTCGTAAAAATATTTAATTTTTCTACATATATATTTTATTGTATAATTATTAACATTATATTTTATAGATTAATATTATTTTAAGTAATTTTCTATTTTACATATTATTTGTGTACAATAATTGTTATATTATTTTCTTATCATATGAATCAGCTTATATACTTAAAACTGATGTGTTTGGCTTGTTAGCAGAATGTAGTACATCTTGTTGAAACAAATGCATTTAAAGAAATTTCAACTAAAGTACCCAAAGATAAACTCAAGGATTATGCACAATTGACTGAGAGATTACAGGTATATTTGATTAATAATTCTTTAATTTAGAAATTAATTTAGAAATAAAATATATATATATATATACATGCCAATATTTTTATAAATGACAAAATTAACATACGCTGTGTCAGTTTTTACAAATGGCGTTTTGTGTTGGAAACGAAATAATCCTAATTCGAATTTGGCGCGAAGCGCCCGATCAGAAGGAGAAAGCGCTCGCGGTGTCGAGGACCGATGGCGCAGCGTGCGCGTTATCCAGCAACGCGGAAGCAGCGACCGTACGTGCGAAGCAGATTCGTGGCAACGGTCCTGGCGAACATGTCTACAAGAAAAGATTGTCTCAGCGAAAGTGTTGGTCGAACCGCAAAGGTTGGTAGAAATGCTGTACACTGTTAGTTAAATACACATATATATATATATTTGTTTGTTCACTGCAACAAAAGTTCTTCGTGATTTTCCCCACGCAACCTCGCCCGAAGATAAAAATCCTTCAGGTTATGGGCCCAGCCACGTGGCGTTGCGTGGCGTAAAAAAGTAAAAACACTGAAAAAAAGTGAAAAGTGAAGCCCGCGATAACCGACCGAGAAAATCGAATGTGCCTAGAAGAAAGAAGACGGAGAGGATGTCGTCGAACACAGTCTCCGAGAACCTGGACAGCGTGGACAGATTAAAGAATACGGAAGGCTACCCGCTGTGGAAATTCCAAATAGGTATAATACTAAAAGCCAGTGACCTTTACGACAATGTAACAACACTGTCTGCGGTCGAATTCCAAACCGAGCAGTGGAAGAAGAACGACGCAAAGGCGCGTAAAGTGATAGTCACGACGGTGGACAAGCAATCGCTGATACACATTATGAGTTGCGAGTCGAGCCACGATATGTGGGAAAAATTAAAGAGTATGTACGAGAGAGACTCGGAGCAGAACAAATGCGTGTTGATGCAAAAATTCTTTGAGTCAAAGAAACCGAAACTCACCGACATGGCTACACACGTTGCCGAGTTGAAAAACATAGTTTTTAGACTAAAGGCGCTGGGAGAGAAATATAACGGACGAGATGTTGATCTCTAAAATATTAACTACGCTGCCCGAGAAGTATAAATTTTTTGCAAGCGCTTGGGAATCCATCAGTAAGCAGGAAAGGACGTTGCCGAATCTGACTGCGAGGCTCCTGGCAGAAGAAACGAGGAATAATGTAAAAGAAGAGGAGTAGCTGGCACTCAAGATAGAAGAACACAAGTGCTTCAAGAAAGGACACCTGGACCGCTCATGCAAAGGAGCAGGCAGTAAAAACGTGAAATGCCACGCGTGTAAAAAAAACAGGACACAGCGCCAAGGACTGTAGAACAAAGCCGAAGATGGAATGTAAAATCTGTAAAAAACAGAACCACGAAGAATAAATTTAATTATATTTAATGTTAATATATATTGCATATTTCTCGAATTTTTTTCCATTTGTTCTAAAATAATAAATGTATAATGAATTAAAAATGTTCTGAATAAAAATATGGTTTAAAAAACGTAAATTATTTATTATTTATATTGTAACTATTACGTACAATAACTTTGCTAGAACCAAGGAAAAGATATATATTATTTAAATCCAGTTATATTAATATCATCAATCAAACATCTTCGATTAAAATTAAAATTTTATTAATTGTTACACATTGTTAATTAATGGAAATAGAGAAATTATATCGATTTTCTTAAGTCAATTATTAATGGAAAAGATTCGCATTAAATTTGCCATATTTAATCGTCAATTATATATTTTTTAATTGTTTCTGCTCAAATCAATTGTCAATTGAATTGTCTTCAATTGAATCTGTTTTTTTCAATCGTCCATTAAAGTACTTCTAATTAAAATTAACTCATTAATCGTTTAATTGAAAAACTTTTAATTAAATTAGCTTGTATTAATCGTTTAATCGATCGCTCTCCGATTAATTTCGTTTATATCAATTGTCAATTAAATAATCTTCAATTGACTTCGATCATATTAATTGTTAATTAAGCGATCTTCGATTAATCTAGCTTATATCAATCGTCATTGTAACGATCTCTAATTAATCTTTCTAAAATTAATCGTCAATTAAAAATATTTTAATTACATTTGATTACATCTGTTTGTAATTAAATGCCATAATTAATTTAAAAAGTAATTAATTAATGACCATCTCTGGTCTAGGGATATTTACTAGAAGTCCTCAGATCTAGTTTCCGAGCTTTGCTCGTGCGCTATTGCTAATTGTTATTTGTAATTAGTCTTAACTATGCTAGATCGTTTCTTAGGTTTGGATCGTTCTTAATTAATCTAATTAAATGTATTCCAGTCGTTTCCGATCGTCTATCGCGATTCTAAGACTTCGCGTTAAAGTACGTGGGCGGAAAAGTATCGCGTTGACGAAACAACGCGCTAGACTTAATCTTCCACTCAGTCTCGTCTTGTTATGTCCTAATAATTGTAATTAATGTTTAACTACGTTTCCAACGCTGAAACTAAATATTTGGATTTTATTTATTAGAGTTGGCTAATTCTAATCTCGCCTAATTGTTTCTGGCTGAAATCCAATTTCAGATCTGCATATATCTTGATGAAATATTTGCAAGCACGTAATAAAATTATGACTGACAACGAGATCGTTTGGATGACTTTCGCTACTCGCGGTCTGTCACGGAACGGCTGAAAATAAAACCTAAACTAACTTATTACTATATTTACATTTATTTACAGGGTTCGTCTTCCAGGCTCCTCTCGCGGCTGCTACTGGACGTCTGGATGATCGTTCGTCCTGCTGCTCGTCGTAGGATGACTCGTGCATGCTGGACTATAGTCAACGGCAGAAAGCTGACTTGGGCCGAGCGAAACCATCGGTCGCAAGGTCTTGCCTCTCGACCCTCATGCGGTGGTGGCCCGATTATTCCCTTGTATTACTCGGGTCGGGCCACTGCCGCAAGATAGATTAACCAAGGGAGAAGCGTGGAAGATTATGCCACTGGCAATGCCCGCGCTCCCCTGTCAATTGGTAAGGCCGGACACCCGCAGGGGTTTTAGTGGGTGAGAGTCCCACATAACCCGCCGACATTCCCTTCCACAAACTAATGTGGAGTCGGCGGGTATGCATAATGCATTTCCCCTGCAATATAAAAAAAAAGGTAAGAATCTCTTGCGATTATATAATTTTAATATATAATAACACATATACACAAAGTTTTCACATAAATACACACACACACACACACATAGGCACATGTACGCATGCATACATAAATTTTTTATTTCAGGACTTGGATAAACTGTTTCTTTATCGTCATGGAATTAAAAGGTTTGGTTCATTATATAGAAAAGAGTATACAAAATAAAACGTGGATGTCTCTGTTGGAAAATCGTGAAGCTACTCTATTCTTTAAACAGCGCTAAAGGTAGACATTCAGAGATGTATAAGAAAAAAAAAATGAAAAATGATATAAATTTGATTTAGTAAATTCAATTGTATATATTTTAGGTAATATTATAAAACTTTATAATACTATAAAAAATAGTAAATTATGGTCATTGGCGCTTGAATGGACGTTGAAAGTAGGTCACTATCAATTGCTTAGGAAAAAAATAACATAGGAGCTAAACATCGCTTGCAAAAATTAGAAGCAAAACATATGGAAGCGGCACTTCAGACATTAAATACGTATGTAAATAAATTATGTAAATTATTTCTACTTTTCTTCTTATACTCAGCTTTTGCAGGGCTATTTTATACGAGATAGCGAGAAAAGATAAGAATAATGAAACTGAACCAGAGAAAAGTGAATTGCTTCACGAACTCAACGTGCGATTGGATTGAGCTGACATCAGAGGTCCACATAACAAAGTTCATATCACCAACAAAGATAGATAACATAGCTCTTATTATCTTCCTATTCATAGCGTCACAATTGAATAAATTATATTACTGCAAAAATACAGATAATTATTTTTTTATATACATTAATATATATATAAAAATGCATACATACTATTAGATATATCTTGTAATAAAATTATATTGTAATTAAAAATTACATACATATTTGAAAATAAGAAATATCAAGATCTCATTGACACTGTGGTTTTTGCAATAGGAATACAAACGATCGTCAGTTTCATGTTTCCGTAATAAATTGTTATGTAAAATATCTGCATGTATATCCTGTCATTAATAATTAATTATAATGTCATGCTATTAATTAGCGAAATCATATACGTATTAATTACAGGAGGCTGTCAGCGAACCATATATATTTTTTCAAATATATTAAAATATGAAATATATACAAATATATATGTATATGCCAATCTCAATCTCGATCTTCAATCTTCAAAACTTTCAATAGTTTGATACGGGCTTTATACAGTAGTTTAGATAAAAAAAATATTTTTATACGTGGCTATACGTACATTAAGGACGTGAAACATTTTCTTGAAAAAAAAATTTGCAAAAAATGACATTTTTGAAAAACCTAAAAATTGCACTGTTATAATGTACATTACAAACTATAAAATTTTATTTAAAACTTTTATATTTTTTATATTATATTTTGACAGCATTAAAATTATTTCCCTATTTAAATATTAATTTAGCAATGATAATATTTTTCTTAAATAATATTATAGAAGTTTGAATTGTATTAAAGCTCCATTTTTATGCGCGCATCCAACGCAAGCACGGTTGGACAATATATGCTATCAATCCACATTGTCAATTGGCTAGTTTTGGACTAGGATCTTCTAATTGGTTAACTACGCTGGCGCCTTAAGTCGCGCATGATGTGTGCAGTGACTTAACGAGATCCTCCTAGCGCGGCGATTTTGTTTTTTCGCTCTTTCTCTACGATAACGTGAGCCCATACGGACGTGTATTTTGTGAAGATATTTCCGAAGTTATCTCGAGGAATTCCATACTTTCTACATTATTATTTATCAAATATCTGCAGTGAGTACCTAACAGCATGTAACAATTAAATTGATAATTTCTTTTTTATTTCATGATGATTAGAAATCATTCAAGAGAAAAAGATTCGCGGTTTTTTATTTTCAATTTTCTATATATTTTATTAATATTATATGTTATATTTCTTATCGCAATATATTTGTCGCGTTCTTTTGGCATTATACAATAATTGAGTGATTTGTTAAACAATATAGAGCGATGGGAATTGTTGCATTTGGCTCGATTTTCGTAACTTAGCAACGAGACGTCGGCGCGACTAACTAAAGGCCTGCACACAAAGGCGCGCCAATTCGTTGCTAAATTCTATACGTTTTACATATTATTTTAATTTATCAAATATCTGCAGTGAATATTTAACATCGTGTAACAATTAAATTGATAATTT